GAGGTGCATTTGCTGGCTCTGCTGGAGGAGTGGGGCCTGTGCGCCCTCCACGCTAAGCGATCGGCCGTCCAAATCGCTGACGTGAGCCTCGTCAGGTGCCTTCGCGTGAAAAGAGGCTGATTTCCCCGCTTTGGCAAACCGGCTGGGGGCCCTGCTGAGCAACACAGAAAAGTCAATTTTTTTTTTCTTTTTTTGTTCTTTATGCTTTATTTTTTTTGCATGGACTTTCAAGTTAAACCTCCCTAAAGCTTTTCAGGTGAAAAGCAGATGAAACGGAGCGGTGCAAGCTCTTCAATTGGAGCAGGGTGCTGCGAAGAAGCGCTTTGATTTACACTTTGACACGAGGCGTCACAATGAGCTCTTGTCTTTCGAGGGCGACATCACCTACAACCTCCCTCGCCGTGAACCAAGTAGGGAAACGAGGAATTATGCAACCGAGCCGGGCTGTAATTTGGGTTTCATGGCAATCTGTGGTTTTGTCGGGGGCCTTGTTCAAAATTCGGGCCCTGAAGATGAAAGCTGCCGCCCTTCCCCACTGCCTTTTCTGGTGGTTTCTCCTCTTCCTCGGCCACTGTTGAAAGTCTCTGCGGATGGGGAGGCAAGTCTGGCAGCGGAGGCGGAGTGACTGGGGCTGTGAGAGGCAAGGACCTGCCCGGTCCTGCCTGCACTGCCTGATAAAAGCGCCTTATTATGAGGTTTAACCCTAATAACAACTTCTTGCTGCCTCAAGACCCTGGTTTTGCTGATTTTTTTCCCTTTCTATTCACTTGTAGGTGGTGAAATGGGGGATAAAATCCCGCCCGTGGCCTCTCTCCCCGCTCACGTCCTGCAGCGATTGTGAAACTGCAGGGAGGCCCCAGCCTGAGCGATCCCTGGAGGCACAAGAAGCGGCTTTATCCCATTTCCCCTAATTTCCCTGCAAATCTTAAGCAGAAACATCTCTGCTTGCAAAACTTTCCTCCAAGGTATCCCCACTAGCAGCAGCAAAGCCCATTTTTTTTTTTTTGTTCCCCCAAATTGAGCTCTTTTATTTATTTTGGCGATGATTCTCCTTGTTTTTTCTGGGCCTTATTTCCACTGACAAAGAACTGGGGAAACAAAGTCTTTTCCTGTCGTGGGTATTTCCTCGTGGGGTAATGCAGCGTGATGGGGGGGGGAGGAAAACCAACAAAACCCCATAAAATTGGCAAAAAAGAAGAAAAAAAAAGTGCCTTGAGTGCAGACCTTTTCCCCAGTGTGCAAAATCCTGCACTGGGTCCATGTGCAATTTCCTCCCCTCTTTAATTTTTTTTTCCTGCTCTTAAAAAAAAAAAAAAATAATAAATGGGTGAAAAATGTACATTTGGGGTGGGTTTTGCTTTGGGAAAAGGCTGTGGGGTGAGTGTTGGCAAGCGATACTCCCTTGGGTATGTTTTTTTTCCCCTTTTCAAGGCTTATTTTTGCTGGAGAAACACTCAGCTGAGCTGCAAAAAAATGGGATTTAAGGGGAATTTTGAGTCCGTGTAAATCTGGCGAGGAGTAGGAGGGGGGGAATGTGATTAATTTTGCTAAATAAGGTGTTAAAAGGAAAAGCAGCTGGGGCTGAGGGGGTGGTTGATTGAACAGGGGGTGTGCTGGGGTGGGGGAAGTGTCTGGTTTGGGGGGGTCAGGGGCAGAGGGTGAGCAGAGCTCCCCCTGGAGGCATGGGGGGACGGGGCTGTGGGGCAGAGATGTGGGGCTGGCCCGGGTGAAAGCCTGTAACTGCCCCAACCACTGCCCCACGGCCCAAACCCCGCGTTCGGGGCTGAGACCAAAGCAGCCCTTACGGGACACAAATTCCCGAGCCACCCCCAGCGCCCAGTCGGGACCAGGGCGAACCTCCACGGCCCAGCGGTGCCGACCCCCCGCAAAGCCCTGCCGACCCAAAACGCAGCGGAGAGACTCGAAACGCTCTGATCCCGAGGGAAGAGGAGCCGGGGGAGATTCCCGGCGTCCTGCGGTCCGGCCGTCGGCTGACACCAGGATTTGGGGGTGAGCTGTGGCTGGGTCCAGCGTCACGGTTGCTGGTGGGGGAGACGGGTGTTAGCCCTGGGTGTTGCACTGGGACATCAGCTCCGTACGTTGCACTGGAGCGTTGCACCAGAGCATCAGCTTCAAATGCTGCAGCCGAGCATCAGCCCCAGGCATTGCATCTGGATATTGCACCCGAGCATCGGTCCCAGGCCTTGCACCGGAGCTTCGGCTCCAAGTATTGCGCTAGAGCATCCGTCCTGGATGTTGCACCAGAGCATCAGCTCAAAATATTGCACCCAAGCATCAGCCCTGGGTGTTGCACTGGGACATCAGCTCCGTACGTGCACCAGAGCCTTGCAGAAGAGCAGCAGCTCAAAATATTGCACCCGAGCGTCAGCCCTGGGCTTTGTGCCAGATCCCCAGCTCCCAAAGTTGCACCAGAGCATCAGCTTCAAACGCTGCAGCCGAGCCTCAGCCCCAGGCACTGCATCTGGATATTGCACCCGAGCATTGGTCCCAGGCCTTGCACTGGAGCTTCGGCTCCAAATACTGCACCGGAGCATCTGTCCTGGGTGTTTCAGTGGAGCTTCAGCCCCAAATATTGCACCCGAGCACCCACCCGGGGTGTTTCAGTGGAGCTTCAGCCCCAAATATCACACCCAAGTGCCAGTCCCAAGATTTGCTCCCAAGCATCAGCCCTGGGCTTTGCATCTGGGTGTTGCACTGGAGCAGCAGCTTCAAATCTCTCACCCGAGCATCATTCCCAGGTGTTGCACCGGAGCATCGCCTCCGGATTTTGCAGCTGAGCCCCAGCTCGGGATGATGACTCCGAGCATTGGCCCCAGGCACGGCACCCAAAAGCCATCCCCGAAGCCTGGCTCACCTCTCCGATATCCCCCCGAGTCTTCCTCCAGGGAGCACCCCAGGATGTCTGGAAATAGAAGATGACGCCGGAGATTTGTACCCCAGGATCCGGCCCCAGGG